AGATGTTTAGTCTGAGGACTAGCAGAGAATAATAGAAATGCTCTTCTGCAGAGCAGCTTTGTCTGCTTTGAATTGGAGTGTTCACTCAGCTCAGTGTAGCACTGAACACCAAAGGAACTTGTGGTGACTCACTGCCTCTCTTCCTGCTGTTCAGCAGTTGGAATAACTTCTGAGAGTCTTAATATCTGATTTCTCGCGTCCTAACCTGCTCAGCCAGCTTTGTCGTGCAGGCTTAAAGCCTGGAAAGATGCCGTTAAAGGTGTTTGGTTTTTTTCCTTGAGAAGCCATTAATTCTTCTGGTATGTTTTGTTGTCCTTCATTGTTGACTCTAGTGTCTCAACGTTGGGGATTTTATTGTTAGAAGGATTAGACTGACATATTTTCAGTTGGTTTTGCTTCTTGTCAGAGTCCCCAGCAGCAGAAATGCAAGTATTCAGTTTTGTCAATGAACTCCTCTGTAGCTTGCGGTTTTGTTAAGGAGCAGAAGAGCTGTCACTCCTTGGGCCTTGAAGTCAGTTCCACATTGATTCACTTTTGGAAGCCTGTTTTGCAGGGGAAAGGAATTTAACTAATGACATTTAATTACTGAGGTGCGTGGGGGAAACATGCTAAACTTAATTTTCATAGGACCTGTTGGTTTATATCTCTGCATTTCTTCAGAGTTACCATTGTGTTTGTTGTTGGTTAGGGACAGTGGATTTGCAGAAGGGAAGGCTACAGTATACCAAAGCCCTTTTTCAAGAAAATTTTTTATTTCTGATTATGCAAGTTTTATTTTGTTTTGAATGAATATGTGTTTTGATATGTGAACTGCAAAAGCAGGGAAAAAATTTAAATACTCTACTAGTACATGAGGAATGAAAAAAATCAGTTCACAGAAACTCAGAGAGACAATTGTAGCACTCAAATATTTTGCATCTTATATCTATCTTGCAGATTCAGAGTACATAGGAATAGTATTTGTGTGTTAATTTTACAGTGGGGACAGTGCACACTCTTTGTAAAAAAGCATGTGTTGAATTCTTATTTACAAAACTTCATTTGAATACTTTAGGAAACATTACATCAGCCATGTGGTATACAGTGTGAGATGTATGTTATGTCTTAAAAGCTCAGTTTAGATAGGACTTATTGTTACTGAATCGAAGAATCAAGTAGGAGTTCACTTTCTTTGCTTAGGAATTGGTTTCCAGCAGTTCTCATTGGATCCTGTCACTTGCGTCTCACATGCTTGTCCCTAAAAGCTTCTGTTGGAGTCAGGTACTCGCAGTGCTGTAGTACTGTAAGAGTTGTGAAAATGAGCTGCCTTCTTTTGGCAGTCTTACGATCCAGTTTAAAACAAATGACTTTGAAACATGGAGGTGCAGGGGACAAAACAGCAAGAGAAAAGGGTAAAAATAGTCGCCCTGTCTATGCATGGACTTATGTCAAGTTTCTGGAATGCAACTGAAACTTGAGACGCTGTGGGATGTAGTGGCTGAGGGACTGAGGGAATGTTCGAAAGCTGTAAAGGTGTGGTCTGGCTGGTGCTGGAGGCGTTTATCAGCTGCTGTAAGGACTGGGCGAGTTGAACAGCTCTCCTTTGAAGTGGAGCAGTTGGCTGCACAGTGAGCCTTGTATCTTCCTGATGAGCTGGTTGGCCAGGACAGCATTTTCCTGCTCTGCCATGTATGAGGTTTTGGTTTACGTTTTTGCTCCTTATCAGGTGAACAAGGAAAGGGATGATGGCACAATGATTCAGGGATTTCAGTGTGATTTCCAAGGGGACAGGTCTGTTGGTGGATTTAAACTGGCCCAGTGAGTTTATTTATGTATTTTTAAAAGTAAGTAACTTTTCCTAGCTTAGCTTCTGAGCTGGTTTAACATAGGATCAGTCAAGTGCCAGTGCTGGTACAAATAAGAGGGATGAAGACAGAACTGCGGCAGGACTGACCTAGTTCAACTAGGCTGTGAAACTCTAGCCTGAAGCAAAGGAGTTATTTTACCTGAAGCCACTTCTGAAATACATTTTGGAAATTCACAGTAGAATTATTAAAGATGGAAATAGTAGGAAAGAACAGAGTGAGTCTTCAGAGTCTTAACTGAAGGTTGTTCAGAAGATACTAATGCTGCTTGTGTTAATAATAAGTGCTATTCCTTACTCATGTCGATGTCAACAGTGTTCTCCATTTTATAAAAAAGATATTAATGCAGCATAAGAAATGTCATGAATTATGTTTGAGGCAGTGTGGACAAGATGCCTTATTGAAGATCATTTTTTATTTAATTTCAAGTTACTTTTTAATTCTCTTTTTACTAAAATTAGCCTTATTCTTTTGTAGAGAAAGTGATTACAAAGGTAGGAAAATGCATAGAAAACAAAAATCAGAATATTCTTTTGAATTGAAGAAAATAATAAGGAAAAAAAGATGATTTCTGTCTTCATGTGGACCTGTATTTTAGTACTTCCATGTTAGACCTTAGGTGAGAGAGCTTGAACATCTCTGGGTAATGAATTGGTATTTTCATTGAGATACTCCTGTTCTTAAACCTCATTGTAGTATCACAGTAAAAATATTTACAAGAAAGAATATGTAGCACAAGAAATCTGACCTGAAAGATTAAATAAGAACTACAGGCTTGTTGGGAAAAGTATTTTGCAATATTGAAATAAGTTAAAAAGCTTAGATCAAGGTGATCTGTCAGTTACCTAAATCAGTCTTCCTTTCCATCCTTATTTATATTTTTTAACTTCTTCTGAAGAAATGTATTTCTTATTTAGATTATATCCACCTTTCATTGTCCCTTGCTCGAAGTGGTGGATATCTGAGATTTAATAGTACCAGGAGAGACGTGGAAAATATTCTTCTTTTGTTGCCTATTAAAGCCCTATTTTTGTAGACTTGGAAGCATTTTAAAATGCACATTTATGTAGATGGACAAATCTTTAACTGATGCTGTGGTAAGGAAGTTCTTTTGGAAGTACAGGGCACTGATTATGGAATAGCTTTGTTTGCTGTTTGTCCAGTGACTGTGTAACCCAGTGAGAAGTTTGTCACAGAAGTGTCTCTTCCGGCCTGTATGAGAAGTCTCAACACGTTTCTTCCTTCTCACAGCTTGGGGTTCTGGCTCTTCTTTAGGTAAAACAGCTGTTCTCCTAGCTCTGAAGACCCTCCATGTAATTGTCTGACATTTTGGTTAATACAGAAGGATTGTATAGCTCTCTGTAAAGGCACTAGAGCTTTGAGTGAAGTATTGATATTTCACGATTCATAGAATCACAGAATCATAGGATGGCTTGGGTTGGGGGGGGCCTTAAAGATCAACTGGTTGCAATCCCCTGCCATGGGCAGGGACTCCTTCCACTAGTCCTGGTTGCTCAGAGCCCCATCCAACCTGGCCTGGGCAACCTGTTCTATGCCTCACCACCCTCACAGTAATCAATTTCTTTGAACTATCTAATCTAAACATACTGTATGCTAGTTTAAAGCCATTCCCCCTGGTCCTGTCACTACATGCTCTTGTAAATAGTCTCTTTCCATCTTTCTTGTAGGCTCCTTCAGGTACTGGAAGGATTGTGGAAGTACTGTACAGTGATAGGACTGGTTTTCTGTAATTCAGCACAAAACAGTCTCAGGGGTGAATATTATAAACTTGGGCTCTGTAACATTTCCTCAGCCAGATTTTTCAGTAGTAAAATCTGAGGATTGGCTTGCTGGATCACTGTGGCTTAGATTAGTTCTTGCCCTGGAAATTCAGTGTGGGCAATATCTTGCACAGTGGCAAGTCATGTGAGTAAGGACGTGTTGTGGGATCCTTACCACATACATGTTTCTAGCTGGGTAAAGAACAGCTACAGTAATTGTTGGCTTTGGACAATAATACTGCAGCCTTTGAACAATAAATAGAGAATATTGTTACTCTTGTAAAATGATATTAGTATTCCTACTTTAAGGTTTCGGGCCTGATATCTAGAAGTTGTCCCCTGTTTGGACCTGCTGCATTTTGTGCATGTGACAGTGAAAGGACTTTTCCTAACAGGAAATTGAATTTGGGTTCTTTCTTGATTTTTCCAGAACTTTTATTAATATAGCAGTTAGAACACGCTTTGTAATCCAGTAGTGCTTTCTTGAGAATCTTTAGGGAAGGCATTCACAGCTTGCAGTTTCAGGATGCATAAAATTTGGGATAATTAATTGATAGACTGATTCAGAACTGGCATGTTGGCATAGGCTTCTTGGGAAACAGAGCTGCTTATTGCTGTGGAAGGAAGCCTTGTGCTGAGCACAAACTGCTGTTCAAAGTGGCTTTACATGTGTGTTTTGTTCCAGTGGCTCACCTAGCTTGACTGGTGAAAACATCTTTTGACAGAAGGTTAAATATATGGGGGGTGGTTGGTGGGGTGTTGGGCAGTAAAAGATTTTGGAGCACACTGCATAGTAATTCCTTCCTTGTGTGTTTTTTAAGTCTTTATTTAATTTTGATCTCCTCTTTTATGGAGAGTGGTGAAAGGGAAACCTATTACTTCTAAGATATGAAGTACCGTGTTGTAGCATGGATCAAGCCAGATTGGTGATTTATAGAAATTCAGGTTCTGTATGTAGATGAGCCAAAAGTGAGTGACCAAGTGAATGAATTTTGTTCTGTGAATGTCATTTGTGGAAGACAAAAGCAGACACCATTCCATTTGGGTGTTAATTAACAGAAAGTTGTCAGTCATCACTGAACTCTCTCTCAGGCCCCTTCCCCCCAGGGGTGTGTAGGTTGTATATACAAACTGCAAATCAGCTGGCTGGTACTGTCCTTGGCTACCTCTTCTTAATAAAACGTGTCATTTCTAATGTATAAGAGCAAAGAATAAGGTCTTAATCTTTAGTCTTGTGAACGTGCAAGCCATTCTTCTGATGTGCCATCTTAATTGCTGGACTTATGTCCTGTTTCTTGGGTCCTAAATTCGGATACTTGCTTTGTGGCTTTCTTCTATTTCCTTCTTCTCTTGAAGGAGATTAGATTCTTCAGTGGTCCTCAAAGAAGAAGGGCTTATTTTGTAGAAAGTAGAAGGCTTCTTCTGGAAAATGTGGCATAGCAAATAAAGTGAAGACATGAATAAATTTAGAAAACAGTTTTTATATTCAAACAAAAGTGTATTCGTTTCTGAATTTGTGTGTTGAAAAATTACTGGTAAAATCTAGTGAATCTTTCCAGTAAACTTTACCCTTGTGTGATGTGTTTTTAGGCTATTCTTTGTTAGCTTCTTTTTTGATATGGGTAAATAACTCTTTGATGTTGGTAAATGTCCTTTCTAAAAATAGCTTGGGAGCTGAAAAGTATTCAGTGTCTCTTGAGTCAGGCTCGTGTTAAGTCAGTGGGAAATCATTCTGTCTGCTTTAATGGGGTTTGGCTCAACGTCATGTCATTGTGCATTAGCCAAGCCTCAGCTGCTGCCATACAGGAATTCTCCAAAGAATAAATGTTTTCTTTCCTTTTAAAATGAAACAATTTGCACAGTTTTTGCAGGGTGTTTCTGTTACCCTTTGATAAGTAACTCTTAGGTGATAAAAATAAACATTTGAAATAAATACTGATCCTGCAAAGTCTTATGCCTTTGGATGTTGTTTTTATAAATGTCAAAAGGCATTAAAAAGGTCGTTATCTGAATGAAGACTTGGAGAATCAGTCCTGCCTCTGACTATTTCACAGAAAGGAGAGGAAAGTCAGTGTTTTTCTAACTGTTCAGTGGAACATGTGTGGGAAGAAACTGGGATGTTAGATATGTGAATTTTGAGAAGGGGAAGAAAGATTTTGTCCTCAGAAGCAAGATGGGCTAGAACATAGTAGTTGAAATTTCCAAATACCGTTTCCACACCATCTTTAATGTAAAAGTATATACTCTGAAAAATGGAAAAAGTAATGATGTTTTAGTATATGTTAACACTGCTAAGTTGTACTTGGCTAACATTTTTTTCATCTGTTTTATAGGTTTTGTAAGAGACACCGGATTAAGTCCAATTCAAATGTTCCATGTGTCCCGAAAGACTTGTTGATGATGTCAGAATTAGTTCTTCCACAGTTCATCTTTAGTCTTATTCAGCACTTACGAGAGGGATATAATGAGCCTGGTATGTTTTAAATTTGCATGTATCTAGCATATCTTTCCATGCTGTTATCTCTTGCTTTGCAGTCTGTGAAGATACAGTAATGCCATCTATACTCTGTCATTGTATTTTGTACCTCTCTTCCTAACAATTATTGCCTGGCTGCGTGATTTGATTTTGTTACCTGCTGAAGAGCTTAAATATGTTTTAAGGGTTACCTAGCATTCTGTTGAGCTCTTCTAGAAATTGAAATCAAGTATAATTTGAAACTTGTATGTGTGAATTTTAAAGCATTTTAAATATATAAATCATTTTCATTTGTGGTGATTGTAACTGTTCTGCTCGTGAAGGTCTTGGCCAAATTACGTTACGTTTACACTAAGAATTCTTGTTATGTGGTTTTCAGCTCTTGATCTGCCGTCAGAGAAAGACCTTCATAAAATTCTCCAGGTTTTGGAGCCTCATGTTTCCTTTCTAGAAGATTTGACCAAAATGGGAGGAGCAATGAGATCAGTTCTTACCCAGGTTTTGACAAGCCAACAGTTCTACAAAGATCTTAGCTCTGGTATGTTTGTGTTATTTCTAATAACTAAATTTTCAAACTATGAAGAATTAAGGGGATACTTTTTGTTTATCACATCAGTTTCTGTATGTTTTTATTTGACTTCTCAAAACCCTGGAAAAAAAGCATGTTTTTAGGGGTGGTTTTTTATTGTTAATAGGAGGATGGGCTTCAGGAGCAGCTGGAAATACTTGTTGATACCTGTGAGAGCAAACCTCTGATCTTTTGTGTCCCAAATAAATGTATACAGTAACAGCCTTTCAAAGGAGTTTTGATAATAAATCCATTCTCTTCAAAGTGAAGTGAGCATAGCAGCTTAGTACTTCCAAATTAGGCATATCAAGGTTATTTGAAGTGGGATATGTCTAACTTATTTTAGGATCTGCTCTCACAGAGGTTCTTGGAGGACACCTGAATGGCAAAAGGCCATTGTCTGTCCTGCACGTCTGTGCAAAGCCTTTTTCATCTTTGTTTTTTTCATAAGCATCACTCCTCCCATTATGTATTCCCTCCTGTTCCAAATCACAAGGAATCTGAAAATGTTGGGCAGTCACTCTTAATCCCAAACCAGCTAGTATAAATTATCTCCATGTTATTTTCTTGTGTTTAGAAAGTGTCTTTTAAGGGTCTTTGGCACAGATATGGGACAAATAGCAATTACTGTAGTTTAAGTTGTCGTAACTGGCTTGGGCAGCAGCTAGTTGAAGAATAGGCCATCTCCAAATCTTTATTGGAAAGGAGAAACACTTAAAGCTACCTCAATTAGTCAGTTTACTTCCTCTTTTTTTCTCCTGTTTAATAGTATTTGAATGAATGGTGATAATTTAATGACTTCTCTTTTCCTGTGTGTGATGCATTCCTGATATAGAGAGGTGGAAAGGGAATGGAAAGTAAGGCATTCTTACCTGGGCTCTTGGAATGGAGAATGTCTGAGTAGGTATGGTTTGGGGATAAAGAAAGGGATTTTAGAGCAAAACCTGCCCTTCTGACTTTGAAAACAAAAGGTGCACAGCTACAAAGATGCTCTAATCTTTTTCATATCCTTTTTTCCTGAAACACTTGAGAGTTTGCTTCTGTAAAGTTTATTTTTTCCATATATAACAAATGTGTTAGGTTTCTGTAGTCCATTTCTTAGTGAAAAATTATAAATCTGGGCATGCACCATTACTTTGCTTCATCAAACAGTTGAAATGACAGTATCTTTATGAATAGTCTCCATTAATATAGGAGAAATTACAAATGTTGTATTACCATTACTGGATTTTTTGGTAGATTTTTTTTTTTTTCCATTGGAAATTTTCGATCGCTGTCCTTTCTAACTAATGGTTTGGAAATGTTAGAACACATCTCTTTTTCTGTAGTGCTAATGGTGGCAGTGCTGGTAAAATATAGATGGAGTACATAATTTAGAAGAACACAGTGTTTTGGAGGGGAAAAACTGAGGTCACCCACCATGTGTCTTTCAGTTCATTACTTAGGAAAACTACTCAGCTTCTACATTTCATAAGTGCAGTGCTTATTAAACCATTGTGGACCATTTTTTAGATTGCTTGTATAGAATAAGTGTATGAACCAAGTAGCTGCTGTTGTGCTTTAATGCTGTTTTGTGTATGTGTTCAAGGTGTTGGAGAGAATGCATGTGCAAAGAAAAGTCATGAAAAGTACCTCATCGCCTTGAAAGGCTCTGGATTGGCATTTCCTGAGGATAAAATTGCGTGTGGTATGCAGGAACAAGGAGCTGGAACTAGCACATTAGCTGTTCAAGGTTTGTGTAGAAAAATATTTCAAGAGAAGATTTGATTACTGATTGCTTTTATATAAACTGTTATTTTAGTTTATTTTTAAGAATACCAGATCTTGGTGAAACTTAAGGAATTACCTGTTACTTAGTGCACCACCAAATTGCAGGATTTCTTTTAATTCTATCAACAAAGCTCAACATGTTAACCTTTTGATCCTAAGCATCACTTTTCCGGTCATAGCATTAGTGGAATTTGAGTAGGCAAGATGAAATTGCTCGTAGTGGAATTTTGTCACTGCAACTAAGTTAAGTTATAAAGGTGCTGTGGATTTTTTTAAATCACTGAATGCCGTCAGAGTTTTTTTGTCATTCTCCAAGAGAACACGTGTCTGTTAACAAAGCTCATGGAAGTTCTGCCATGCACGTGCAAATCCCTGAGTTTGTATTGCCTGGAAATATTACTCCAACTTCTCAGTCCACTGCTGTGTATCTTTTAAAGAAAATTAATGTAGTGTTCCATTTCATACTGGCTCATTAAATATTATCAAATACTGTCTTGTCAGTGTAAGACTTACGAAAGGAATCTCTGAATTTTTTCTATTTCAAAAGGTTTAGCAGGTGCTACGGCAACATCAGGACAAGGGGATTCTTCAGATGAGGTGAGACTGCTTTTAAAGACTGTAATGAACTGCAACAGAATATTAAATGGAGAAAATGCTTGCAGCCAGACCCCACAGACCTTAACTCTTCTATCTGCCATGTATTATCCCCATTTGAATGATTAGAAGTAATGGTGATATAAAGGAATGGATCTCATGCCTTTGATTTACTAAGGACCTCTTGAAAAATCCTTACTTTTGCTGATACTGTTTCAGTTTAATTTCTGTATGTGACATAGAAGTAACCTGTGTAGGTGTTTCAGAAGTCACTATCAAGTAAATTTGGCTCAATTAAAGCAAATTTGAAGGATGTAATGCTGTGAATGGTGTTAGCAGATTTTGGCACTTGAGAATCCAGCTGAGCTGGTGATAGCAGCAGTGAGAGTGTCTCTCTAGATAAAGTCCCATGTGTCGACTTGACCTTACTTACCAAACACATTGAGTGGGAGTAAAAAGGAGAGACTGTAATAAATAAGTGGAATTTAATAAGGAAAATTGAATTCTGATGAAGTTACTTTATCAATATATTCTCTTTTTTTCTCTACTATTTAAAACCTAATTTCAGCTAGTAAGCCTTAGCAGCCATTCTGGTAGGGTAACATAACAAACTTTAAATAGTGTAAAGAGAGATGCAGTAGAAAAACATTTATTCCTTAGTGTGGTAAAAGCATTCATGGCCTGCATTTTATTTGATTCCTTGGAACATAAAATCTTCTTAAATAGGAGGATTGGTTTAGAAAGGGCCTTTTTGTGAGAAATAACAGCCATCCTTCAGATGAGTTTTTAGCTTAGAACCATCTACTGTTGTAGAAGTGAAATTAAATACTGAACTTTGCAAAACTTTGCAGGCTGTTCAGTGCTGTGCAGAAGTGCTGCTCTGATTTGTAGTCCATGTAAATTCTGTAATCTAGTGTTAGATCTGTGAAACAATGCCACCATTAGGTCTTGGTAAGAAAGGAGATTATTAACCTTTCTGGATTCATCCTAAATAGCAGAGGAATAAAATCTGGTTAACAGTGTACTCTTGCTGCACTTCTTAATTACAACATAGTTTTACTCTGTCCTAAGAGGTATAATAAGGCATTAAAAACATCTGTAAATGCCCTTCATAACTTAGATGGCAGTGCAGGGGAGAGGAAGAGAAGTTGTAAAACAAGATCACTTGTTCCTCATTTCTCAGGTAGCATCATTTTTCTAATAATCATTCAGCCTTCCACCTCTGCAGTCTGTTTTGACTTTTGGATGAGAGGGCTGGGCTTTTCTTTGAGTAATTCATGTTTGTCAAGCAGACCATGATTAAGAAAAATATTATAAAATAAAAAATTAACTTTGTTTGCCACTAACTGAGGGAGGTTTTTTTCAGGACAGGAGACTTAAATTGCAGTCCTGCAGTTCCTAGTAATATCCCAGCAAGTCTGATGTTTTTTCTTGAGAACACTTGGCCCCTCTGCTGACATCCCTAGAACTGACTGACTCATTCCCAGTTGAAGTACCAAAGTGGCCTGTGTTCACAAAGCCCACAGGATGCCTAAGAGCTCAAGTGTGTGTCCATCTTAAAAGGAATTTTCAGATGGAGGTAATGAAAGGATAGGAAAATTAAGACCGTTCATTTACACCATACTTTTGGTCAGTCCTTAGAAAATATGAATAATCTTTCTCACCAAGGAAGGAGAGTAACTTGGTGAGGTTCAGGTTCTTAATCATGTCAGTGAAATGTAAAGTAAATGAAAGTAAAACATGGCATTTGCTTAGAGGAAAAGGATATTGATTACTTATTTTTGACAGTAGATATCTGCATTAATTATATCTCATTTTATTAGCTCCAGTCAGAATATTTACTTGTAGTGTTTCATTAGAACTTAACATTGTTAGTAAAGATTCATGCAACATTTAATATAGTCCTATAAATTCACATTCGTTTTTGATACCCAGTGGTGGATTTTGTAAAGTGATGAAGATGTTTTTAAGTCACATTGCATTTTGGAACCTTTGTGGTTTTGTTTGTGGAGTGCCCTGAAAGCTTCAGGTGACAAGTGCCGGTGTTAAGTGTTTCCATTATTCTGTAGGGAACAAGCAATTGGAATTGGCCTCTTAATGGTGTCGAAAGTTCTTTATTCTTGCATCAAAGGTTTATATTGATTAGAAAATGTCTAGCTAATTGTCTGTGTTCCCAACTTTGGCTGAAATTTTTTTTAGCAAATAAAAAAACACAAGCCCTACGGGTGGATGAGATAAAACCTTGGATGTGCAACGGTTAGAAATGCTGTAGTGTTAAACATTTCTGCAGCAATCAGTTTCAGAAATCAAAGCAAGGAGCCTTTTGCAATTAATGAAATAGATTAATCTGTCTCAACTTGCAGATGATGATGTTGCCTGCAGGGCAAAAAGGCGATTAAAAAAGTTATGTTTTTTCTAATGACTTGCACAGAGTCCATGGTTCCTGTATTTTTCTGGTAAGAGTGTATCCCAGGCTTCTCTGTTTTAACTTGGTGGTTAAGGAGAATTTTGAGAGCATACCATCTCTTGGCAGTAAAATTCTAAATATACGATTATCAATGTTTTAAACTCTTCCCCTACCCCAGGAGGACCAGGATGGTAGCCAAGGTGTGGGAAAGCGCAAGAGGGTGAAACTAAGCAGCACCACCAAAGGTATTTATAAAGTACTGATCTCAATTTATCATATTTACTTTGTCTGTCTTAAAAGTCATCTAGGGATACTCATTCACTTCCCAAGCTCTATAGTGCTGCATGTGACAGGTATTAAACACAGCAAAGTCTTAAAAAAGAGTAGCAAGTGAAATTGTAGTAATTGGCAACTTTGATTTCCTGTGAGTGTGTACCACTGCATGGGACTCTGCTTGACCATTTTGTCACCTCTGTGTTGTAAGCTGACTTCCAGAACTTCATTCAGTTCTCACCATGTGGCTGACAAGTTGCAATACAGCTTTGCAAACAAGTTTTTGATCAATGTGTTCTCAGCAATTTTTTCTGATTGTGCCATTGTCCAGTATGACTGTGTTCTCAGACAGGCAGGAATGTTTTGCTCAGGTTCTGGTTGGTCTTTCTCTATTTGTTGTAGTAATGTTTAAGATAAGGTACTTGAACTAAGTCTCTTTTGAAACCACTCCATTATTTTCTAGTAAGAAATTAGTGCTCTGTGCAATTTCTAGTTCAACATGAGCAGCACTCGAATTGAGGCCAGTGCAAGTTTTAATTCAAGAATGACCACAGGCTAGAGACAAGGTAGTCCTGTCCTGTGGTTGACATGTTTTTTGTGCTATTAATCAATATAGAAGACTTTGATTTTGGTTGTTTTTCATCTCTGTATGAGGAGACTGACATAGGAAGCACAAAGAATTGCAAATCTTGAGAAGAGAAAGGTGGAAAGACTGTGGTGAAAGTTAGAATAAAATTTCTGGAAGGTCTCTGGAGTGAAGGTTTGGAGCTTCATGAATCAGTAAAAAGGTATGAAGATGTCATGAGGAGTATGGGAAAGTAAGACTGATTGTTTCTAGTGTCTTCAGATGGAAGGAAAAAGATTAGGAAGCTGGAAAAGAAGAAAACTAAATGTTTGGGCAATGGTGGTAAGAGATGATCTTAAAAATGGTGTGAAAAAGGTTGTGGCAGAGAATAATATGGAAGAGTTGATAGTTTTGGAGAAATGCAGGAAATGTAAAGACATCCAAGGAAAGTTGTCTTTCTTGAATTTTAGAGGCTGTTAGCTTGTCTAGAAGATGAGTTAGAGTCGGGTAGCACAAGAAAAAAATGCTGTTCTTCTGATGCATAAAAACTAATGATGGGAAATAGGCAGGGAGGAAGCTCAGGTTTAGCAGCTGCCTGATCAGAAAACCAATATCAGCAGTGGCATTTCAGGAAAAGTGGTACTTGAATTCAACATTTCATTTCCCCCCAGGATTGTAGTCTTCCCCCTCTGAGGCATCCCAGCATGGACTGTGCTCTTGATGTTGATAGCTCCTATTATCAGCCCCAGAGGAGGGAGTCTGTCAGTGGGGGAAGGGTAAGTATCTGTTTTTATTAAATATCAAATAGTTTTCTGAAGTTTTCACTATTCATATTTTATGTCCAATAGGGTATAAAATAAGAGTATGAAAAGAAAATTTTAGAAAACTGAGTATTGAATAAAAACAGATTTACCTTTTCCATATAAGCAGACTCCCTGGCCCATTCTAGGTCTTTAGTGGTACTGTCTTCAGAGAGGGTTATTTATATACTGGGGTTATCTTGGAATGCCAAGTCTCATGTTCAAGAGAGATAGTTACAACACTCTGTCAGGTCTTCTGTGGTTTTAAGAAAGAGTAAAAGGTTTCTTTAAAGAAAATACAGTTTTTATGCTGAGGTTCACTGATACAGGTATGGGACTGAGTATTGAGAGAATTTTAATTTTACTCTGTTTTAAAATTGCATCCATCTGAAATACCAGATATTTAAGACAATTTTAAACCCACAGGCACTGTATTTTTTTCATTTGTTTAAAGAAATTTAAAATCACGTGCGTTTCACAAGAGTGGGAGCATTAGTCCCAGTGTTCTTGACAAATTTTCCAAGTTGGGTAAGAGCATTCTGCCTACTTAAATTCTGTAGCAGGTAAGAGTGGATTTGTATTCTTCTGTCCCTGCCTGAAACTGCTGTACGAAGTATTCGATCTGCACTGTTCAACTGTGATACATGTCAGAGAAAGCTGCACATCAGTGACAGATAAGGTGTTGTGTCACTTGTCTTAATGCCTGGTGTTCTTACTCAGCAGCATCTGGCATGTACCTGAACTTGTGCTGTCTGTTCTGTGGACAGAGGAATTCAGTCTGTATGGCTGCCAAGCTTTCATGGGCAGTCAAATCACATATGCAGTTTCTTAACAAGAGATGAGAAGGAGAACATAAATGATCATCGTATGTTTGTTGCAGTAGGTGATGTGTAATGCTTTACAAAATATTTTAATATTAAAATATCTTTCATTATTCTGTGAAGGTAATGTTTTTATATCAATACTTGTAGAATATATTGAATAAAGCATAGTCTTGCCTTTTTGTGACTTGCTAGAGTCTTGAGGAGAACCCTAAACTTTAAATCTGGGATAATTGGTCTCTTGACTGGGGAACTCAGACCTTTGGTAATGGTGGAAAATGGAGGTAATTCCTGCTTAGAAAAAACACAAATGCCTATCCTGCTTAGAATAGGCACAAAGCTATCCAGTGCAGTCTCTAAAGCTGTCGTAGTGAAGATGAGTCTTCAAGGCCAGATGATGTTCAGTTTAAGTGTTTTTGGGTGTGTGCTGATGGGAGCATGCCATTGGAATATGGCATTTTGTGTGGGGGTTATGTCCTCAGATCTAGTTGACTTCTAGGTATAGAGGAGGAGTATTATTATTTTCTTCTTTAGTCTTCATATGTTACTAGAATGAACTATACCTGTTGTAGTTTTAAATCATAGGTAATCAACCTCTTTAAAAGTTATGATAGTCTTTATATTTTAGTATTTTTTACAATGGAGTTAATATGGTTTATGCTCTGTCAAACGTTAGTTTCATTAGCAGTTTGTTCTAGCAAAGGTCAGTTTGCAGCTTTGCAGTCAGGAAACTGATCTGCTTGAAAGCACAGCTGACAGAATGGAAAGGTCCTGGACTTGATTCCTGTGTAGGTACTGCACAGGGATCTGCTGTCAGCATGAGTAAGGGGGTGAGTGAGTGGCCAGGAGTTGAATGGGGAAAGATGAAACTGTCTCTCCTGGTACCACAGAAGTTGGTGCCTGATTGTCTGATCATGGCAGTTCTTACATTAAAAAACCCCAACCAACAGCTATGTGGTTAGTCAGTCGGTACATATATTGCTTTGAAAATAACAATAACCAATGTGTTATTGTTTCTATTTAGCTTGCTTAGAGTATTGTAAAGTGTTCTTAGGTGATCGAACTCAACACTTAATCATGCATTGTGTTTTGTTGTTTTGCTATTTTGACTTCAATTAAGTAGTAGTCTACACTGTTTCCCTCGATTAAGTGGGAATACAATATTGTGTGGTTTGCTGTGATGCATTATAATCAGTGCAGCTGTGGTATGATTCAGTGTGGTCAATGAAGATTGGACTCAGTGGTAGAATTGTACTGAAAGCTTTCATTGGCTTCTCTGGGAGGACCTTTTTCTTCTGTCAGACACTGAGCAGTGTTGGTCATGTTCATTTTGCCAGTGGTTAAAAAAAATTATTTACAGAATGCACTAAGATGTTCTTAAATTTTTGTTCTTGACTTTTTATATGAGTGCAACAGCATTATAATTTTTTGTTTTAATACTCTCTATATTTCACATCCCCTGCTCCAACCTTTTATGCAGATCAATCTATCATGGATGTTTTGAAGCATAAATGTTTTCTAGAAGAATTATTATTTTGGACAATAAAATATGAATTTCCACAGAAGATGGTGACTTTCTTACTCAACATGCTCCCAGATCAAGATTACAAGGTACTTGTCTTGCTTCATTCAAACATGTCTCTTCTTATTCACATAGTTTGTGTATTATGCCTTGCATGAGTCCACATATGCTCACATTTGAATAATAAGCAGTAAAATAATGTAGACCTTTTACCTTGTTTTGAGTATTTTGTTCAAAGGTTGAAAGCATTTAGGTTTGGAAGAGCAATGTGAACAAAACATGACAGATAATTCTGGAGCAGCAGTGTTAATTTTGATCTCATGGTTTGTTATTTTCCTTTTTGGCTGTTAGTGCATATTTGCATGTGTTGGATTTTGTTTTGTTTTATTTTACTTTGTACATTGGGTTTTTATCACTTAAAAGATGTGGACCAGCAGCATATGATTCTGTAGTGTGGTATGACTGGTGAATAATGGCAGTGACTTCATTCCTGTTTCGACTGTTGTAGTAGACAGCGGTTTCTCCATAAAGGCCATTACAGTGTGAGTGTTCTTGCTGCAGCTATGACCTAGGTGATTTTGGCAGCCTTCCAGGTGCTTCCTTACAGAGTTTTGCAGTTGTCCACACCAAGTATCTCCTGGCCTGGAGTCATGGAGACTGGATGTCATCTTCCTGTTTTAAATTTTGGTGTGCAGCCAGGTTTTGTTGTTGGCTCCACATGTTCCCAAGACCTAGTATACATAGCAATCGGGCTTAACATTTCACTCTGGTCATGTCATACCCTTGAGCTGTAGACCTTCTCAATCCCTGGTGGGAGGCAAAGATCAAGAAATCCTGAAGTCAGGCATGCAGATTTCTTCAAAAATGCCTGTTTGTAATGGAACAGCCCTGGATTATGCCTGCATAAAACCTTGCTGTATCAAAACAAAGGATATGAAGATAACTTGCCAGAAGAAAAAGATAAGATATGGGCCTTCAGCAATACTGTGGCAATGTCAGGACATCATTTTGATTTGGGATACCAGCATAGATTTGTCTTGGTCTTGGAATCAGCTAATACATGAGAAGGCATTAGGACTTCTTAACTGATGATCCCATGCCATGAAGCTTGAATTCTTCGTGACACTGGAGACCCTCATGGACATCCAGTTTTCCTGATCCATTGCCAGCTAAATTCCTGCCTGTGAAAACAGCCAGCTGCTAGCAGCGTGCAGAAGAATCTGGTAAGTGTTGCTGTGTTTTCCTTTTTACTGTGCTGTGTAATAACAGCTTTTAATGATTGTGGGATCTTTCTTCCTATGACAAGAAGTCATGGTCTTCAGTGACTTTCTTCACTGTGTTTCTCACCTTTCTTCACTCAGAATGGAGACCATGGTGTATCTGGTCTCTCTACTAACTGTCACCTCTATCTGGAAATAGTCCACCTCCTACCCTGCAGTGCTGCATGCTCAGATTGAAAGATTATTTACACTTTTTTTTGTTTGCTTGGGGTTTTCCTTTGCTACCACTTTTATGTTGTGTATGATTAAACAGTTAATTCCTATGTACATACTTTATTACAAGCATAAATCCTAAGTATTGAAATCTTTCAGAATCTGTGCTTATTTTAATTGCTGTGATTGTCTAGAAGGCATTTTTAAGTAGTAAGGAAGCTCAGAGCACAAAATGTATCACACAGCAATACTAGAGAAGCAATAACACTATTTTTTCACAAGGTATTTGTGCTTTCTTGCAAAACTGTGTCAGTGCTGCATGAATTTTAAACATGTCCATGGGGTCTGTGGCTAATTTACAAGGAGTGGCTCTGCGTTTTGCATGCATACAGAGAGAACATAGCATTTTGGGATGAATTAGGAGAGTGTTTTCTCTTAGAGGTTTCCATTTAGCTTTTTTGAGGAAAAAGCTAGTTTGCTGATTGATCATATTGCATTTTCAAACAGCGGGAATACCTGTAGGGATATAAACTGTTCCAAGTGATCTCTAAGCTTTCTGCTCCTTCCTCTCATCCCTCCTGCACCACATGTACTGTCTTAATTTTTTCCGTGTCTGCTGTTTTGCAATTTGTCTGATTCTTTGTGAGGTGGATTTAGCTCATTAAATCAGCAGAATTCTTCTAGGTTGGTTTTCTGATAAACCAAGGGAGTTAGCCAGACACAGAGCACAGAGCTGGCTGTGCATACTTTGAAATTGCTGAAATCTCTGACCTCCAGCAGAAATATATTAGAGCTAACTGAATCCACTACTGCCCTGTGAAACAGTCACTGAGCCGCCAATAATCTCAGTTGTACAGAATAATATTAAATAGGAAAACAAACTTCCCTTTTAGGATTTCCAGTATTGAAAAGAGGTGTTGAAAGGGGTGGGCTAAAACCCTGGGTTAACTAGCTCTTCCCTCTCTCTCCCCTTGGCATATAAGAGAGACAGCACAACAAAAGTGTGGTCTTTGCCTTACAGATTTGTGCTTGAGGCAGCCCTTCCAGCACTCTGACATTTGAAGCTTGGAAGACTTACAAGTGAAGAAAAAGAAAGCAGAAGAGAAATTTACTGAAGCTTCCAAGAAATTAAAGGTGTTATGGTGTGGACAAGGTTCCTGCAAGAGTAAAAACAAAAGGCCAGAAAAATAGACCTTCTGGTGACCAAGATGAAGGCAGAGAATGCATTGGCAGTAAACAAGAAGTTGATGGAAGAGTGTAAATCATCCAAGAGCTGAGCCTTGCTGAAATATGGAATAATGGAAGTAGAAAAATGCAAAAGCATCTGGTAGAGATAATGAATCAACAAACATAATTACCAGAAATGCTGTGCCTTGTAAGGCACCACCCTCAGTGACTGTTGAGGCAGCTGTTAGAGCAATAGGGCTTTACTAACCCCTGGACATGCTGTTTGACAAATTCTGTAGAGCAGTTTTCCTGTCAGAACCTTAATTTTAGCACACTGTTCAGCTGGCAGAAATATCTTCTTCTTAGCACTGAGAACATAAACGTGGGAGATGTAAATTCTAACTGAAACATGGGGTTGCTGTTAGGTTCCTAAAAGTTTTGGGCTTGAGTAGCCACCAAGAAGAAAGACCGGTTGAAAAAATTAACTTTGTTTTTCCGTGGATTAGAAATTTAAAAGCTGCACAAGATCACAGAGAGGAAGTCAGTGAAGGAAATGAAATATACAGAAAACATGTCTGTCTTAGGAAGGCACTTCTTGCAAATGGTTGGAAGCTGACTGCTTGGAAAGATGTGTTATGTCAATATCTGCATTCCCTCTCCTTTGTTTATTTTTACTTACTTGTGTGTATAGCTTTGGCCATTGAAAGAAAAGACACTGAGGTAGATGAGCTGATTTGGCCTACCATGACTGGTTTTATATATGGACTGCAGTGTACCACAGTATTTCAGCATTTTAACTTCTGGAATTTAGTTTAGTTTTTCTTCTCAAAATTGGAAAGGGTTGTATCTGTTAGTTTGATTTAGAATTAAGAGAATGTAGGAGTAAATGTTCTGTCTTTCCTTTGCTTAAGTGTTTTACAGAGTCTCTACCATTATACTGCCTTAAGAGAAAATTTACAGTACTTTCAGAAGTTGATTATTGTATATGAGTGAGGCACCGAAAATTTTGATGCATGCCAATTTAAAATAACGAAATAAAAATTCCTGAATTTGTCTTTGGGGAAGGATGATGTTTTTGCAGTCAGCTTGAATTGAGAGTGCTGTGTAAAACAAGTAAAAGGTAGCTTCTGCATCACAGAACTTGAGAATCCTATTTAAACATAATGCAGTGGGAAGAAGTTATATATAAATAAAGTATACTTTTTTACTAGCAGTATTAATATACTAACTTAGAATATCTGGTGCGTCATTGGTGTCTGAGGCTTAACATTAATAGTGTGAATGTCTTGATGATAAGTGCTATTGCCAGTGATTAAAATTGTTTCAAGCTTTAATACAGAGGAAATTATGTGATAGGAATATCTGAATACCAGAGTGATCTGTATTGATGTCACACAAATATTGCAAATAGATTGTTCTGAAAAGGCTTTAGCTGACAGCAGTTACAGTTGCTCTGTGGGTGCTGTACACAGGAGACACACAGTTATTATACAGGTTTCCATCATTGTGGACCAGCTAAAGGAAGGCAAGTTAAGTAGTCTTGCAGTGTTTCCTGCAGTGACATCCCCATCCACACCCTGGTCCATTTTTTTGCATAAGCAACTTTATTTCTCAGGGTGTTTTCCAGAAGAGCAGTTTCTGTGCCCAGCAGAGCATTACGCCATCATATTTTTGGGAGTATTTTCTAAACAAGAATAACATGATAGTGCTGTAATAAAAATATGGGAGCACTGAGCCTAAGGCAGGTAAAAGGGAGTAGTGATTTGTATATGGTCTGGTGAAAATGCAGCTGCCTGGGGTGGTTTTAAAATAAATAATTTTATGCTTATGAAAGGTTAATACTTTTGGAAGGAATAGGCAAGGGAGTTTTAGACTTTGATCTGAAAGTTTTCATCACTACACAGCTCGTCGTCTTACTGAGCCAAGCAAGTCCAGATGGTGTTAATTCAGAACCTGAAGTGGTATCAAACCCCACAGATATACCCACATGTATGTGCAGTCCACAAGGTTGTTTTACAGTGCAATTTGAGGCTAATGCAGTGGGACACAAAACTGTACTAAGCTTTCTGTGTGTATGTATCAATACATTTAAATACTTACCTGGTTTTAAAAAAACCCAAACAGTTGTGTGAGGCATAGCAAGACTTGATGATGAATTTAGTTATTGGGGAGAAACTGCTACAAGTTTATTAATAAATTGTAGGATGTTATGATAGCAGAAATGGAATTCAGTGTTGAAATGTCTTCCTTGACAGATGAATTAAAACCTTACTCCATAGGTAAATGAGTGCAAGTGATAAGGCAGCTTTATCATGCACTAGTAATGTCACTGTTCATGGTGTATCATTTTAGGACATGAGTTCCTGTTGTGGGATGTAAAAATCTGGGATAAATTAATTATTAGAACTTTGCTACTTTCACAGGTGTGATGAGACCTTATATTCTTTGTTTGAACATTTTTGGACTTTTTTTTTGGTGCGGAATGTATAGAATGAGAAGATGAGATTTTGGGAAAAGATAATAAAAATAGAGGCATAATTTTCCTCTATAAATAAGTCTTTTCTTGTGGACTGTTTTCTAGGAAGCAGACATGGGATGCTTAGGCCAGGAGTTTTGGTTTGTCATGGCAACTGGTGTTGATTGTACTTCTGCAGAGGAATCTGTTAGAGTGAAAGGAAACTGTAACCTTTGGTGCTTGTTAACGTCCACATTTCTTTATAATTTTCAGATTGCTTTTACAAAAACTTTTGTTCAGCATTATGCATTTATTATGAAAACACTGAAGAAAAGCCATGAATCAGACACAATGTCTAACAGAATTGTGCATATCAGTGTTCAGTTGTTCAGCAATGAAGAACTGGCACGCCAAGTAACAGAAGAATGCCAACTGCTGGATATTATGGTCACTGTTCTGTTGTACATGATGGAAAGTTGCCTTATTAAAAGTGAATTGCAAGGTAGGTTGGTTGGTTTGTTTGCTTCTTTCCATTAATAATAAATTGGTTATAGAGGAAATTTCATTTCTTTGATAGCCAATCCCACCCCCCAACCGCTTTTCAAAAATGGACAGTCTAGCAATATGTGGTAGAGGCTCAGTATCAACATTTCCTAGAAATACAGAGGTATCAAGAGTGATACTGATGTCTTATCCTTTAGTTTGTAGGATTTTTCTTTTATAGCAATGTTATATAGTTTAGAATACAAAGTATTATGTTACAGGTGCTAAATAGGTTGGGTAAAATGCATAAACAACTGTTTGAGGAATTATATATGCAAATTGAGACCTTTATTAATGTAAAAATATTTCCAAGGTATTTCACAAGCTATTTGCAGTATTTAACATAATTTTAATTTTTCTCACCTGTGATTGCCTGAATGAAACTCAGTATAATTAGAGGAGAATGATTTAATACTTTACAAATATAATTTGTTCAAGCTTTTGTTTGACAGAATGGCAATTTGAATTTGAACTAGTGTACACTGTGTAACTTACTTAGTGAAAACAACTGTCCTATTTCCACCCTCCTTGTTTTACCTGTCCTTATCTGAAAGCGGTGACACAGTGAATCTTGCTGACTTCTGTTATTCAGTGCTTTTATGTGCCTAACAGACTGCAGACCTCTCAGCCCTCTTTATCCTAGTTTCAAGCTGAAAGTACTCTCTAGACTGGCTGAGTGCTGCTGCTAAATAAGTATCACCAACTTATGCATGAAATTGGTTTTTGTATTTCCCGTAGTATCCTTTGTCTCAGAGTCTGCTCTATGTATAGCCTAATTCAGAATGACCATACTGAAACAGGGAATTCTCACTCATCTAGGTCCCAAGAGTGCCCTCGTTCAGCAGACTGCACCATGAGAAATTCTTCCGTTGCCCTACATAGATTGTTTTACAGTATTAAAGAAAAATGTGGAATATTTAACAATTTGTATGTCAAATGACTTGCTAAATCAATGCCATATTGGTGGGATGTAATTTTTAAGCATCTTCTGAATGTTACTTGTTGGTCAGCATGGGATGGTGCTAGCATGGCACTCAGGTTCTGTAATGGGTCAGAATTTGCAGCCAAAGAGAAAAAGGCTGTGAATGTGATTAAGCATTCTCTGGAGAAGCTTCCTGGTAGTTAATGATGTAAATTTGAGCTGGTAAGTTAAATAACATCAGATCTATTTATGATAGATTTATGAGAAAAGACTTAGCCCTGGAGCAGCTATCCCACTGCTTCCTTTTTCCAGCACCATTGATTTCTCTTAGCTAAGCTCCGTCGCTGAATTAAGAACCTTTTAGGTTGGAAAAGGCCTTTAAGACCACTGAGTCCACCAGTAAGCCTAATACTATCCAAGTCCAGCACTGGAATATGTCTAGTGCTTTTCAGTGTTTCACAACATTTCCTCCTTACTGCTTTATGTATAAGGGGTTGGGCATATTGTAAATTGGCAGAAGAAGATCAGACAAAAAAAATCCCCCTCATATTCTCTTTGGCCTTCTTTTGCAGTTCTGTGGGCTTGTATCTTGTGTTTAGGTAAAGTTATCTCTTACGATGCTGGAAATAGTGAAAAGTGTGTTAAAAGTCTGTGCTGGGGAGATAAATTGAGAAGAATTCTGTTTGTACAGCTCCTGCAGACAAGTAGGTTGTTTAGACCAAGTTTGCAAATCCAGCCAATGGACAGATGGAGAAAGCATTATTCGAGAGGAGCAAGGAATGTATGGAGCAGGAATTGTATCTGCTATGGTGTGTTTAGTTTACACTGCTCACAGATCCTACTTGTCTTTTGAACAGCTGACACCTATACAGTTCACTAAGGGTGTTTGTGGATGCTGTGACAAACTGTTTTCATGGAACAGACTTGATCTAGCTGTGTTGATACCAACTTCCTAAGTGTTACTAGTTCAGCTAACCTCTCTCACATGTGGTGTGAAAGGATGATGAGGAGAAATACAGATGCAGATAATAAAACTGGCTCCCTAGGAAGATGTATGTCTCGATGTTCTAAGAGACTTTTTTCCTTTCTATTAGTACTTTTCCTCCTAATGAATTTATTGTGGGAGAAGAATTTATAGCCCCAAGGAAAGCATTTGGTAATGGTACATCCTTTGTAAAACCAAACTCTTAAATGACTTAACATTAATTGTGGCTTGTAGAGTATTCTGAATAAGAGACAGTGTCCCTGTCCATTTGAAGTAACTTTGGGTTTGTGTGATCTATACTGGGGCAGAGAATCAGCAACATGGACTTGTTTGCTCTTTGCAAAGTCCTTCAGCAGGTTGAGGCAGAGATGTTATCCTGTACTTGGATAGGCTGTGTGAGCATGTGGGAACCAGGCAGCTGACCAGAAAGACCTGGTTGCCTTTCTTTGCAGATGTACCAGATAGTGAGAGAGATCAAAGAATATTTGATCAACTGTGGCAGAGAAGCTTGGAAAAAGCTCCACAGAATACTTCTGGCTGCCTGTTCCTTCCAGTGCTTCGGTGTAATAGATAAGAGTCAGTCTTAAGAATTGGAGCTCTGTATTACCTTCTGGGGATGAGAAGGTATCTGTTCATAGTTGTGTGCAACTCAGGCAACATATTTGTCAGGATGAAATCTGCTTCATTTTTCTGACAGAACCAATTCTGTCTCCCATCTGGTGTTTCTAGAGGCCCCTCTTAGGAAAAGCAAACAAGGAGATTTATTTGACAGCTGTAGAGGACATGTTTCTGTGATTTGGGGTGGGGGAAAGAGATCCCTTCCCTCAATTTCTTATTCTTCTCTTTTGGGAACCTTCTCCTGCCCTAGGCTTGAGCAGGCTGTGTCAACCCTCTGTCCCAGCTTCAGAGTGGGAACACTTTGCTCTACTCTTTGCAGACTCAGTGTGCCAGTGTGGGTTTTGATTACCAGATTTCTTTGTGAATGCTGTAGGTAGTTTGCTCACTGGGAGTATGTCAGATTCAAAATAGATTTCAGGTGTTCATGATAGGAATTCCAGTGTCTGGTCTTTTTATACTTCCTGAGAGTATTCAAAAAAGATATAACTATGATGGTTTTGCTAATGTACTGCTTTTCAAAGGTGGTGATACTGCTCAAAGTATGAGTGGCTCCTACTGATTGGGGTCTGTGTTAGTGAGACCATGATGACTGAACAGCCTCAGACACCACAGACAAACCATTCTTTTCTGTAGCTTTCTCTGTGTGTCTCTAACCACAGCATTACAGTACATCTTAGTTATTTTCACACTCTTCTGTAACTTTATTTATAAATTACAACAAGAAGGAAAAAATTATAATTTATTCTCTTTGCTTCTTTGTTTTCTTTTTGTTTTCTTTTGTTTACATCTAGATGAAGAAAATAGTTTACATGTGGTGGTGAATTGTGGGGAAGCACTACTGAAGAATAATACTTACTGGCCCCTGGTTAGTGATTTTATAAACATACTTTCACACCAAAGTGTGGCAAAGAAATTTTTGGAAGATCATGGTCTTTTGGTAACATGGATGAATTTTGTATCATTTTTTCAAGGTATGTGACTTTTATAATCAGTACTAATACAAGGATGTTTAGAGAGCTTAATGTTCACAGCAGCAAAATCCTTACAATGCTGTATGTAAATATTTAATTTGTATTTCTGGAAGAGAACAGCATATTCTAGAAAGCAGATAGATTTAAAAAATGAACAAATGGATCTTTGTCTTGTGTGAAGTAGTCAAAGAGCAATCACATCACACTTGACTGAGGTTCATGGTGCAAGAATTCTGAGGTTGTACTTAAAGTACAGATCATAACTTGTGCTAGAAGTCAGTTACTGGTTAAGTTGATGCAAAGAAATTTTTTTTTATTATTAAAAAATACTTCCCATTGGTGAGCTTCTCAACACTGATGAAGTTTCTGCCTAGAAAGGGGATCAGCACCCAAATGTTCGCATCGATTCAGTGACATGCAAAGTTGAAGGGCTGATGTCCAAGTTAATGTCACCTGAACAGCAAGGACTGACTGCAGTTACTAGCCAGTTTAGAGCTGTTGTTCTTTTCTGGTTTATTTCTGTTCAAACTTTGTTGCTTGTTCTCATTTTTTTATCAGTTATTCTGCTGCTAGATAAAATAGATTCTTACACTTAGGGAGGTTTTTTTATCTTCATAGGTGTGTAAATGCATAACACTAAAAATACTGCATTCCATTTAGCTCTAGTTAAATATTGCGTTGCATAACTCTGCTTAAATCTTTGCAGGTATGAATTTGAATAAAAGAGAATTAAATGAGCACGTGGAGTTTGAATCACAGACATACTATGCTGCCTTTGCTGCAGAGCTGGAAGCCTGTGCCCAGCCAATGTGGGGGCTTCTGTCACACTGCAAAGTTAGGGTAAGGCTGGTGTTTCTCTGTCATGATTCTTGGCTTTATTCATGACTTACTCTACAGTTCTCAAACCTGAAAGGTCTATCTGGCTTGTGTTTGAAAAGACCTGAGTTCTTCTGTCTTTGTCTATCAAATAACATAAAACTCAATTCAGGTCGGATTCTGTGTACAGTGAGTGTAGAATTCTTGCTTGTTAACCTAATTTATTGTCTCCAGCACTGAGACTGCAAGGTCAGGATGTGCACATGTGACTGTACACATGGAACAACTTCTAATCTGATGAAGAACTTGATAAATGTCTCTGAGTCATTCTGCCTTTGTTCAGTGGGAAAGGAGATACAGGAGTCATCCTAATGTCATCATAATGTTAATTGTGTCTGCAAATAGACACTTCATTATTATTATTATGGGGGATGGAGTAATTTATGGGTTTGTGTTGTTATACTGACAATGAGGTGAAAGCCTCTTAGGTTCTGACATCTCATGGTGTCCAAACTAGAGCAAAGACTTGTTACTATTTGCTAGACTGTGAGGTATATTAAGTTATAGCAAAACTGGAATCCATCAGCTTTTAGGAATACTTAACCTATGAAAAACATTTTTACTATTTTATTTTCTATGAAATAAATATTTGTATTTGAAATTAGTATAGTAAGTAATAGTGTCCATGAGATACTAATGCCAGAATTGAGCTATCACTGAAAGTATGTGTGTGAGCATACCATGAGATTTTAAAACAGGTTAAATCAGGTGTTTGCAAAAGCCTTTCCATTGTGTGTCACTACTCCCTCACGAGGGGCAAAGGAGGGGCAGCACTGACCTCTTCTCTCTGGCAGCCAGTGACAGGACCCAAGGGAATGGTCTGAAGTTGTGTCAGGGAGGTTAGATATTATGAAAAAGTTCTTCCCCCAGAGGGTGTTTGGGCACTGGAACAGCTCCCCAGGGCAGTGGTCACCGCACCAAGCCTGACAGAGCTCAAGAGGCATTTGGACAATGCTCTCAGGCACATGGTGTGATTCTTGGGGGTGTCCTGTGCTGGGCCAGGAGTTGGACTTGACTATCCTTGTGGATCCCTTCCTACTCTGAATATCCTGTGATTCTGTGATGTAGTGGATGGACACTATTACTTACTATACTAACACTGATACATTATGAGTTTATTGATTTATGAGTCTGTATTAGCTTTTAAAAACCAAATTGCAACTTCTGGCTTTTCAAAGTATTCCTTTCTTTTTTTGCTTAGGGATGGGATGGTCTGCCTTTTTTTTAAGGCCTCTAAGATTCTTTGCTCCACCTGTTGCCTTGTCAGTCATGTCTTCAGCCACATGTTTGAACATTTTGTTTGTTCTCCATAAATCTGAAAGTGTTGGATCATTCAGCCTGTTGCATCACAGGCTGGATCAATGGACTGGGGCCAGCAGTATTAGGTTTAATAACAGCAAAGTGCTGACACCTGCATTTGGATCACAGCAACCCCATGGCTGGGGGCAGAGTGGCTGGAAAGCTGCACAGCAGAAAAGGACCTGGGGGTGCTGGTTGACAGTGGCTGAACGTGAGCCAATAGTGTACACAGGTGGCCAAGAAAGCCAATGGCATCCTGGCCTGTATCACAAATAGCGGGCCCAGCAGGACCAGGGCAGTGGTTGTCACTCTGTACTCAGCACTGGTGAGGCCACACCTCAGATCTTGTGTTCTGGGTGCCTCACTGCAAGAAAGACATTGAAGTGCTGGAGCAGGTCCAGAGAAGGGAAGCAAAGCTGGTGGAGGGTCTAAAGAATAAGTCCTATGAGGAGTGGCTGAGCAAGCTGGGGGTGTCTAGCCTGGAGGAAAGGTGGCACAGGGGAAACCTTATTGTTCTCTAGAACTCCCTGACAGGAGGTTGTCGTCAGGTGTGGGTTGGCCTCTTCTCCCAGGCAACTAGTGAGAAGACAAGAGGAAATGGCCTCAAGTTGCACCAGGGGGGAGGTTCATGTTGGACATCAGGAAGACTTTCTTCATGGAAAGGGTGGTTAAGCATTGGAATGGGCTGCCCAGGGAAGTGATGGAGTCACCATCCCTGGAAGAGTTCAAGAAACGAGTGGATGTGGCACTTCGTGCTATGGATTAGGTGACAAGGTGGTGTTCAGTCAAAGCTTGAACTCAGTGACCATGGAGGTCGTTTCCAACCTTAACAATTGTATGTCCTGTAAAAGTATTATTGAAAAAATCAAATTTATTTGTAGTAGGAAAACAGTTACTCTTAGTTAAAACTGTTCTGGCTTATATAGTGTACTGGTTTCTCTTACTGCAGGAAACACAGGAATACACACGAAATGTTGTCAGATACTGCCTTGAAGCACTTCAGGACTGGTTTGATGCTATCAACTTTGTAGATGAGGTAAATATCCTTAATGAATTTTTAAAAAAGTACTGTGAAAATCTGATTAAATTCTAAAGGTGATACTTTCCCTCCTCCCTGTGCTCCCACCTTAAATGGAAAAGGATTGCCTTGCTGAAAGTAGTTTGTAGTTAATAGTTGCAGTGTTATGTCCTAGGTTCCTTTATTTGTAGAGTCTTGGTGATTTAAATTTGCTGGTGCAAGCTTAAGCTGTGTGAGTTGTAAAAGCAGTGCTGTTGATACACTACTGTTCTGCTGGATGAAGAGCTGTAGCAATGGCAGAACAGAAGCTCTTTTGCTGTGGTAGTAGGGAGCAGCTTTGCCATTTAGCAAGCAATACTCAGTCAAATCAGAGTGCCATTAGCTACTGGGAGCTTAGTAAGAGATTAACAACAGCTGAAGGAAACTTCTGAATGATCAGAAACTGCAGGGGAATGAAGTAATACTAGGTTAGTGGAAAGAAGTCCATCAAATAAAGACATGCAAGATGCTGTTCTTGGTGGTTGTGACAAAGACATTTGTGGGTTTGGTTTTTTTAATATATGATACTAAAATACTTTTATTTTACTTTCAGCCAGCTCCTAACCAAGTTACTTTTCATTTGCCGCTGCACCGTTACTTTGCCATGTTTCTGAGTAAGGTAAGCACGTGCTGTAATCACACAGAGGATGGAAGTACCCTGTTGAGTGTGATATTCAGGACACCATGTGCTTGCTTTTGTTTCTAGGCTGTCAAATGCCAAGAACTAGATCTGGATACTATCTTGCCAGATCAGGAGATGCTGATGAAACTAATGATTCACCCACTTCAGATTCAGGTACGGGCAGAGTTCTGACTGCAGATGTAGAAATACAGAAAAAATAATTGCTGTCTGACCTTTCACCCTCAGTCATTTAAGTATCTTTAGAAAGTACTTAGCAAGGGGAACTATATCTTAACTGTGGAATATCAAAATAAGCAATATGTGACAATAATAACTAAAATATACTGAGTAGTTAAGATAAACTTTTTTCCCCCTTCTTATTTCCAGAATTAATTATGTGGCATTAGTTACCATACTCTGAGAAGTATGTTGATAATGTTCACTGTAGCACTTCTGAAAGGGTAGGAAGAATCAACCCTTTGAAAACATAGCATTGTAATGTGAATAGCTAGTTGAGAGGAACCATATAGGAAACTTCCATATTTTAAATTGAGAATGAGTTCAAGAATGGATGTACTCTGCAGTATTTTTATAGTTTACAAATTCGGAGGTATTTGTATGTAAGTAGTAGTGAGCAGTATTTGTAGTCACTGCTTTTATCTCTATCCTCTTTTTAACCATGATGCCTTCATTTTCAGAGTATTTCTCAATATTATAATAAATCGCTACATAGATAAATCACTTCATTTGGCTTTGATCACTTTCAATGTCTGAAACGTTCTCATGTGAAAGTATGGTGTCTGTTTCATAAACTTGCAGTGGTTCCTTTTCATCCCTCACTCCCCAGGGGAAGTAAATTAGTATAAAAAGTATATAAAGGTGTAGTGTGTATGTATATGTATAATGTTAGTGCATAAAATGATGTAAGATGTTTTTGCAATGAGGATGGTAAAACACAGGAACAGGTTGCCCATGGAGGTGGTAGATGCCCCATCTCTGGAAATATTTGTGGTTGGATTAGATGGGACTCTGAGCAGCCTGACCTAGTTGAAGATGTCCCTGCTGATTGCAGGGAGTTGGACTAGGTGACCTTTAAAGGGTCCCTTCTATGATTCCACAAGAAAGCTGCAGAGTGACTTTTCACAAGGGCAGGTTGTGACAGGACAAAGAGGAATGGCTTTAAACTGCAAGAGAGTAGTTTAGACTAGGTATCACAAGGACTTTCTTTACTGTGAGGGTGTTGAGGCACAGAACAGGTTGCCCAGAGCAGCTGTGGTTGCTCCATCCCTGGAAGCTTTCAAGGCCAGGTTGGATGGGACTCTGAACAACCTGAGCTAGTGGAAGGTGTCCCTGCCCATGGCAGGGCGTGGAACAAGATGATCATTAAGGTCCCTTGCAACCCAAACATTTACATGGTTTCTATATTTCTATGATCATATGTTGAAGATCTGCTAACAATGAACCGAATAGCTGAATATCCCTGAAATATTTATAATTTCTTTTTATTTTCCCTGAACAGGCAAGTCTGTCTGAAATTCACAGCAACATGTGGGTTAGAAATGGTCTACAAATTAAAGGACAAGCCATGACTTATGTGCAGTCTCATTTCTGCAATTCAATGATTGATCCTGACATTTATCTGCTGCAAGTAAGTTATGCTTTTTGAGAAGTCAAACCAGTATTGTTTGCTAATGAACTATTGAATAAAATTAATGTATTCTCTTTCTACAGGTCTGTGCCTCTAGGCTGGACCCAGATTATTTTATTTCGTCTGTTTTTGAAAGGTAAGTTAAAAGATGAATGCTCTTGTTAAATGTTTTGTTAGGTGTTGTCTAATTTATGCCATGTAATAGGAAAAGTGAGTGTCTGATACACATCTCCAGTGGTACAACTCTGCCTAGCCAAAACATTTACCTAAGGGCTCTATTGAAAGAGTTATCTCTTGATTTTAAACAAGATTGGCTTTTGGTGTACAGTGCAGTATAGTTAAACTTCAGACATTTGTTTTCTGAGCATCTTTAGGATTTTTAAGTGTTGCAAATGTTAATATGCTGGGGTATTTTGGCCTGAAGAAGTAGGTGAATAGAGCTGCAGTAGTAAGAGACACAGAAAGGATGTCTGCTTTTCTGGAAAAAAATACCAGGATTCGAAAATGGAGTAATTGGCATTAGCTTTTTTATGTTCATACATCTAAGGTGTTTTCATGTGGAGTGAATATCACAGTAGCACATTCCATAGACAAATAAAAATCTAAAAGAACAGGGGTTTCTTGTATGTTTGTTTGCATATATTTCACTTTGTGTTCATTTTAAGTTGTTGTGAATGGTATCCTGAGCTTTTCAGTACATTTCACATTGGTGTTTTAATGTTGGAGAGTGATGTTTCTGCCTTTACTGTTTGCCATGTAGATTTAAGGTGGTAGATCTGTTAACAATGGCATCACAGCATCAAAATACAGTTCTTGACTCGGAGCACGAAAGATCCATGTTGGAAGGAGCCTTAACATTTTTGGTCCTTCTCTTAAGCCTTCGTTTACATTTAGGTAAGAGTCACTGCTTTAGGAATACCTGCATGTCAGTAACATTATAACATGTTCATTTGTAGTCAACATTTAGTAGTTGCCTTAAAGCTGTTTAACCATATAGCACCGTAATGCATTCAACACTTGGTTTCATCTTTGCCAGTTAGTGAATGCTGTTCCCTTAGGAATTAGATGTAATACAGAGAAATGGAGGAAAATGGCTTTAGTGGAAGTGGGTGATTTGTATAGGTGATCACATGAAGGTTCTGTATCTTCTCCAGAAAGACAGCAGTTTTAGTTGTGTCTGTCTTTTCTGGCTGAGAGTGTGTCTTTCATAATATTTTTGCCCCCTCTCCTACTTCTTCCTGTATTTTTATAGCACTATGTTGTTAGTTAATATTAGTTTGTGTCAAGTTTTCCATGCTTTAATGTCGAATGACAGCTGAATGTGTGTTTTAAATCGTGCTATTTTAATGGCTTTTTAACTTTTATTGTTCTAGGAATGACAGATGATGAGATCCTCAGAGCAGAGATGGTAGCCCAACTCTGTATGAATGACAGGACACACAGTTCATTGTTGGATCTCATATCCTTGGAGTATATTGACTAATATGCATAGATGAGAATGACAGGTGCCTGGATAGTAGTGGGATTTTGGAGCTGCAGCAGCATGATTTTAGCTTACATAATTAAAACATACTGTGTTAAGGTGAGATTGCATATACTTATTAGTAAAGGCATTTGCTCCAATTTTGTTTTTTCTTACAAACTATGCAATACTTCCTAATGATTTAAATTAGTTTTGGTATAAAATGCTAAGCTACTCTTTATTTATTTATTTGTTTGTTACACTGCAGAAGTCTTTTAGCTGTGAAGTAGCAAAACTGTTTTCCAGTGTCTTTGTTGACAGTTTAGCCAAGTGTCACCTTTACCTGGATTTGAGCCTTTGATTATTGCTGATTTTATACCAGTGTAAAAACAAGCCCCACTCCATGCTCTATTGGCTTTTGCTGTCAATAGCTGAAAATAAAAATAATAGCAGTTCCTGCATGTTGCTTTGACATTAAAGCACGTGCTATGGGGAAAGTATCTTAGTTGAAGAACAGCAACCTCCAGGGACTCTTGCTGTACAGAGGTACAGTTCATGGCCCCACGCAGCAGGTTTTACTGCTCTCAGTGGCTCAGGCTTTGTAGGCAAATTAAATAGCTTGTGTTGATTGCATAGAAGAGCTTACAGTTGGGGCAGGCATTGAGCAAAAATACTAGCAATTTAAAAAGATTGTTAAAGATGTGTCAAAGATTTACTAATTATTATGGTATGACCTAATGCCTCAACACTTAAATATGTAAAATAAGCGAATTACTTTGAAAAATTCACTTAGCAAATCACTTGTAAAATAAGTGAATCCTTTATACAAGCACTTAACTGCTGAGCAGAAGTTTACTTATTTTAAGAAGGCAAAAATGTTTGTAAATAAAGGGAAGTTCAAAAACTTTATATACACTACCGATAGTGGTTTGTATTTCTTATTAAGTACTTAGCATCTGCAGCCAAGCACGTAGCAGTTGTCTTGCTTTAAAAAGTTTAATGCCCTTGCTAGGAGTCTTTGATTCGCTTCAGTAGTAGTTACTAGCTCTAGCAGCTGGAGCATACAGACCTCTTGTGGTAAGTACTGAGCACTGCTGAAACGAGAGGCTGATAATGTTGAGAGGAATGAAATGCTCTGTCCTGCAGCTAAGTCAACTTTGCTTTCCTTAACACAAACATTACATTCCAGAAAACCCCAATCCTAAAAGTGGTATTATTCCAGGAAGCTTAAGCTTTGAATCAGTCCTGTCAGCTGTTGCTGATTTTAAAGCTCCTGTTTTTGAACCCGGAGGTTCCATGCAGCAAGGAATGTATACACCTAAAGGTATGGTCATTGGTGTTCTCTTACAACATAACTGGTGGCAAGATGCCTAACCAGAATTTGTTTGGTGTTTTTGTTATGGGTTGTTTTCTTTGCTTAGAAAATCCAAGCTCCAAACCCAACCTACCAGTGTTAAAAACTCCACCCTATCCTCTCTACAAAAAAGCCAAACCCACCACTGAAACCCCACAGAACTTGTTTGACTTTATTTTTATGCCTATTGCCTACATTTAGGAGCATTGCTAAACACTGCCTATAGCCTATAATAAATTCATTTTGATCTGGAATGCAAATAAGCTTCTCATATTAATTAGGTGTCCTTGGAAAGCAAGGGAAAATGGAGAATTGAAAATGGGTCTTATTTGTATTTCACTGATCTGCATACTCAGTTATTCATGGGATTTAGAAAATCTGATGTATGTTCAGTAGCTCAGAACTGTTTGCATTACTGAGATGTCAGTTGCAGAGATACTTTGTTTGAACTTCTCCACATTTTGATTATTAAAAACATCATTTGTTATTTTACATTGCATAACTACATTAGTATCATGTAACGTTTTTTGCAGTCAGTAGTGAGGGTCTAGAGCAAAGTTCAGGCTAGACTGGTTACAGAATATTGTTCTATAATTCTACAGTGCAAAAATGACAAGTTTCTTCCCCTGACCAGCTTGTCATCTAAATTGGACTCAATACAGCATTGGTATATCAAAGGAGAGAAAGAATTTAAGAACTCAGTGTTCCATTACTGTTTCCTGTCACTGAGCAGATAAGCCTGTAGGAATCTGAAATGCTCTATGTGCTCTGGTTGTGCTTCAGCTAATGGCAAAGCTGAAGGGGATTAACTCCTTACTCCCTTGAGCACTGGAAAGGTTAGGGTCTGACAATTTTGAAACTGTCTTTTGTGGGGGTTCTTTGGGAGGTTGTTAATGTGGGAACTAATACTGTACTAACTTGATTGCCCGGTTTAGTACTGGGGGATTTGAAGAGTCAGCAAGGCCCTTGGTTTTATACTAATTATCAAGCAGTGAAGTAATTTTATGAAACCATGGTTTTGGGAACTGATTAATCCTGGATCCTTGGCGTGTAATTGGGCTGCTTGACACCTTTGTATTTAAAATAACTTTATTTTGATGTTATGTAAACTGCATTTCCTTACGTCATGTCTGGTTTCTAGAGCTTGTGACATGCTGGTCTTTTTCATAACACAGTGTGAAGGGGAAAAAAGATGGATTATGGTATCTTTAATTGTAACACTTTAGGGAATCTAGTGTTTGGGTTTTTTTTTAAATTAGGATCTTTTTAACTTTAAGCAATCAGTTTATTCCAGAGGTAAACTGTGTAAAGTATCTCATCTATTCAGTGAACACTGAAGTAATTTTAACATTATACAGATTCTCTTTTTCTTACAGTAATGAAAACTGAAAACAGTTTCTGCAGAAATAAAAGCTGGCATGTCTTCCTTTACTGTACCCTCTTAAGTGTTCGTAGTCTCTGTAAGACTATACACATTCTCTAAACCTTTGCATTTAAGAACTATAGTTTTGTGACCTGTGATAGTTAAAACAAGTCATGCCGAGATCCATTCCCCCTAATCCCTTGTTTCCCTAAATTTGTGAGTGTGTGGGTATGAAATCTACTTTGTTTGCAGATCACTTGATTTTCCTTCCATTAACCATCATTTATAAAAAAAAAACCCAAACCGGCTTCCAGAAACAGATGGTTCTTATTCTCTGTGGATTTGTGTGTTGAAGATGAACTGTGTGTGCTTTTCCAACATGCCATGTATGGCTCACTCACTCAGTTCTTTTTCATCTTTGTGCATTAGCAGCCCAGACAAGCTTGGTCCATGTTTCAGGCTTCAGTAGTAAACTCTGTCCAGAAAAAAATGGCTCGTGTTGTGATGTGCCTGCTGGGGGAGCTAAAATTCTGTGTCCGCTGGGTGTCTTCCTCTTCTGGGGGTCATTGCATCTTGCCTTCATGTTGCTGTGCTCTGAGAGCTAAACACTTGGAAAAAATTAATAGAATTAACATTTTCACTTGACTTTGGCTTGGAAACTTAGTTTTGATTTTTAGTAACTTGTGAATAGAAAAAAAAAGCAATTAAGTGGGATGTCTTTGTAGACTCTTTTGACTTTTCTGTTTATAATTGCTGTGAAAAGTCACTCTGGATATCACTTTAGAGCTGTTAAATGAAACTAAGATTTTGATGCCAAAGTATTGCATAGATATTTGTAATAAAACAAAGAACTATTTGAGAAGGATTGGTCACAAATACTATTTGATACAAAACTTGGCCATTTTTGAGACTGAAAAAAATTGTGTTGCTATAGTCATTTGGTGCACTACACTGAATGGTAAAATATCATCTGACTGCTAACTGCTCTGCAGTCTATTTTCAAGAGGGCTTGTGCTTATCACCTACCAAGTGAAAAATAATTTAAACCTATTCTTACACCTGCTTGGAAATAAAAAAGAACAAAACAAGATGCATACAGAAAACGTGGGTTTGGGGTTGCTTTAGGGAAACTTGTTAACAGAAAAGATCTATTGCCTTAATAGAGTGGGGATTTTTTTTTTTGCTTTGAAACTAACCAAAATTTCACCAAAACCAGTCTTCTATCCTGATAAATAGTAGTAATTATTATTACAGTGAGCATTATTTGTAAGACTTATTAAAAGTTACTGTACTTAAAAAATTGTATCATAGAAAACTATATGATGAAAGCTGGTCAAGAAGAGAATCTAGAATAGATCATAAGGTCTTTAAAGAGAATGTTAACATGTAGTTTCTTTTATACAACAGCTGAAGTTTGGGATAAGGAATTTGATCCTGTCATGGTGATACTTCGAACAGTTTACCGCAGAGATGTGCAGTCTGCAATGGACAGATACACAGCATTGTAAGTCTGGGCATTTCTAGAAATGCAGCATTGCACAACAAATTTTGTGTTTTCACTGTCTGGTAATACCAATCACTTTATCAATGTGTTCAGTTATGCCCTTGAGTAAATAGGCTATAAATTTACAGGCAGCATTAAGGGTTTGGTTGTCTTAGGCCCTTACTCTTCCACAGATGTTTAAAAATACATCTGAAGTGCCACAGACGAAGTAATGAATGTAATCACAGATAAAATACTTAACCACAGGTGGTGTTTAAAAATTAGTAGCAGGTTGCTTAAAGCAGCCTTACCTGTATTTATTTTACACTTAGGTACATAGAGCACAGTATTAATGTTCTGTGTTTTGAAATTTGAGGACAATCTGAGTTTTTTCTGCGTATTCACCCATGACAGAAACCATGGGTTAATTAAATTCTGATACAGGAAAGTAACACTTGTGGAACTCTTAAGTTCTAACAAGCAAGATGATTTGGTCTTAATTATGTCCCTTAACACTCCATCCCTTACAGCCTTATACTCTTAAGAGATTCTTATTTCAGCTGATTTAATTTGATCATATTTTATTTCACACCTTGGGAGTAAAAATCAGGATTAAAACCCCCTTATAATAAACGTAATGAAATAATCCCCTGCCCCTGTGGTTATTCCTGTAAGTCAAAGGGTCATCATAAATGCATGCAGTAAGTGATTTTCAATAAGGTAGTATTCTACTAAATGATTGCATTGTCTACTGCACCAGATTCCACCTTATCTTTAGAAATGTGGGTCCATGTTGAACTTAGCACTTAATTTTTAAATTCATAGATATGATTGCATTGGTACTGTCAAGTATAACTAATTATGGGTAGTGTTTCCTGGTGTAGCATGTAATCTGTTGCTACAGATGTGAGATTTTTGTTGGATGTCTAACATGTGGATTTGGGTGAAGTGTTCTGTCTCTCCCCTGTGCTTCTTAGAATGAAAACAGAATGCCAAAATTCTTAGCAATAATTAAAAAATAATGTAACTTTATAAATAAAGGTCATTTAAATCAGTGGTAATCCACAGAAGAATAAGGCTGGAGTGAGTGGGAGTTCTTTGGAATGCTGCTTAAATATATTAAATGCCTTAGAAATGCTTACTGTTCTAAAGTTGGTCTAAACAATAAGAATGTAGGATAGTTATCTCTAATAGTGGCAGTTGTCTAATGTAAGTTCCAACATTTAACATTTATTTCAACAGTTTAAAGCAAAGTGGAAAATTCCCTGGAAATCCATGGCCTCCTTACAAGAAGAGAACACCTCTACACCCAAGTTACAAAGGTCTCATAAAGCTTTTACACTGCAAAACCCTGCACATTGTGCTCTTCACACTTCTCTACAAGGTACAGTTACATTTTTTGCAGGTTTTCCTCCTATTTCATTGAGAACATTCAAGGGCTTACATCTTGAGAATCTTAACATTTCTGGGTTTTTGTTTTAGCTGCAATGCCAAATACTTTTCTACCAGATTTATGAATGATAAAAAACATGTAGCGATTGATTGTGTGGGTTGGTTTAAATTGTTTGTTCTATTTGTGAAATTTTGCCAACTCATGACAGCCTTTATTGTGTCTGTTGACTTTTGGGGCTTCCTACAGAAGAACAGTCAATCACATTTGATGATCTGACGTTTCAGAAGTGTTGGGCAGCATGACTTTTGATTCTGACTGCTACAATTGCACATGGATCTTCATATTAGCATAATACTGCGTCCCTTTTTTAGTTAAATAACCTCTGTAATCTCAGATTTGATTAAATCAGCTGCTCAAACATTTTTTAGAAAAGCTGTTTCTAAGAACTTTATCTCCCTGATATTTCTAATGGGTTTATCTGCTTAGGCAATTTGTCCCATTAAAACTGAGTCATTTAAAACTTTACTGGTCTACACTCTAAAAATACTAATTTGTACAGTAGCCTGTCTGCAGTGAAATTTAAAGCTTTTTTCCTCATCCACTTTTTTGGTAACTTGCAGGTTTTTGCCATTTCCTTTCCTTTAAATCAGAATATTCTCAAGAGAAGAATTGTCCTGGTTTTTAATTTCAGCAGCACTGGTACTCCCTCTCAGTGCATTGAAAACTGTGCTAGCAGAAAGATATGGACACTTAACTAATTTAAAGATAAGATCATTTATTATCTGTAGCTAAAAAAGATGATGTGAAGGTGGTTGTGAACTAAATTCATGTTAACCCTTCTGGCTTTTCCAGTTACCCAGGCCTCACTGCCAGGACTAGGGCCTTGTGGTGATTGATCACATGAAAAAGGGAGGGAAGGCTGGTTGCAGCTCTCTGCATGTAGCTGACAGTAGTGTTGTCTGTGCAGCTTTACCTGTCACTTTGGTGTACAACTAAATTGAAGCGTGAGATAGTAATAACTGGAAGGTGCAAGTTTGTTTGACTGGAAAGATACGAAAGAAAATTTTGCTTATGTGGTGACAATCAAAGGTTAGTTTTTGTCTGAACATCGAAATAATTTTTAATCAACTTATAAAAACCCAAAAAAACTGAAGAGTCCAAAGGGTATGACCTAGAACAGTCTTTTTTAAGTTTAGATATATTGAAGCCTTTATCTTCGAAGATGTGAATGTCTGTTTTTCTACCTAGATATTAATGGATCACCAGAATTTATCAGAGCATGTGCTTTGCATGGTTTTGTATTTGATTGAGCTGGGGTTGGAAAATTCTCCAGAACAAGAATCAGATGAAGAGGTAAGAATAAATACTGTCTTTTTCATTAAAATGTAAAGGCATTTTCTTAAGGGTTCAATATTCTTGAAAAATGGATTTTTACTAAAGTTGTAATGTTACCATAGGAGTTACAATAAAGCATCTCTACTAATAACAGGGATCAACTAAGCAAAAAAAAAAAGCGCATACTGTTGTGAAGAAGAGTATGGTACCTTGTTACATTTCTCAACACTTTCTG